CTCCCTAATTTACACTCCAATTAGAACATGTGCTGTCATTATAGTAATCCAATTTCAACACCAGTGAGAATACATAGAGACTCCAAATAGCAGGCTTCAAAGAAAATGGTAAAAAGACAGCACAAGTGGGTCTCACTTAAAATCTGCACACACACATGTGTGCACACAAACAAACATGCTTATGTGTACACTAACACATTGAGTATTTCGATTCCAAACCTCATCTCTCCCTGGTGTACCAGGGATTTATATGAGTAACTTCCATTAAGTCTACTTAGTAAAGAAATTAGCTAGTAATAAACAAATTCAGCATTTATTTTAATGGTGCAAAATACAGTTCTGAAACTGGCATGTACCTGTGCCGTGCCCCTCCTGATGTAAAACAGGTTGTGAGTCTCAGAGAAAAAGGGTTGCATACATGTAATGTATTATTAACATTAGGGTAAGTACTGTTTATCCCCCTCACTGCTGTTATCTACTAGAACATTTTTTTATAAGCCACCATTCTGTTTGTGAACTACGGTACCAGGCACATCAGGCAGGGCAAGTGATCAAAAAATATCACATGTTGATTTCCTCCCAGTTTATTTGGAGCACATTAATTAGTTTCATTAGAATGATTTATAATACATCTCTATAGGCCTCCACAGCATCAAGAGCCTTACTTTCGCCTCCCAAATGTTGACCCTTAACATGTCCATACTTTGACAGTACTCTCAAGGGGCTATTTCGGAGAAAGTGAATAATAAAGGATCTGGACATGCCTTTCAACTGTCTCTCATTATAAGGGATGTCTCCTGTGGTATTATCTTGATTTACCACATACACCCTCCTGTTTTCCACATTTTATTATTTTACATTATTCTTGACAGAACGCACAATTTTCTTATGTATATGTGGTATTTCTCCAGCGGACAAAGTCATTCCCTAGATAGGTTCTTCAATCAAACTTGAAAAGACACAAGTGACCAAATGTACAGCAGATTTTTTGACCACCAAATGGGTCATGTCAAGGCTTCCCTTCCCTTCCTCAGTTGCAAATGTCATGACACTTACTATGAAGAGCAATACTTAGAAGACAGCAGGTGACAGGCACCTGCTTGGAATAAAACTGATTCTCACTCAAGCTTCATTAAAGTAAAAAGTAGTTTCCAGAAAGAGCAAACTATAAACTACCAACAGATTTTTAAATAAATGTTTTACTGATACTTCAGTGAGATTCATATTCATCAGTGCAGTATTGGAGCACCTATCCTTGTGCAGTGTTATTATTCCCCATTTGCTAATGAGGAAACTGAGGCACAGAGAAGTTACATCTCTTGCCCAGATCACACAAGGAGTTTGTGAAATAACAAAAATAGCACCATGTTTCCTGACTCCTTGAACTGTACCTTAACCACAAGACCATCATTCATCCCCTGAAATTGTCCTCAAAAGATAAGTGTCAGAAATAGGACAATAGTAAGAAAACAACATTATTGATGCAATGACAGTAACATAGTACAGAGCATAAGGTGAACATGTAAGAAACTGCCATCTGCCATCAGAGAAATCCTATGTACAAGTACAAATAATTGCCTGTCTTCCAAGTGGACAAGGTCAGCTTTCTATTAGATGTTTGCAGTGTTGCTGTAGCTGCACTGGTCCCAGAGAATTAGAAAGACATAGCGAGTAAGTTAATATCTTTTATTGGACCAACTTCTGTTGGTGAAAGAGACAAACTTTCGAGCTAGAATTAGATAGATAGATAGAGGGAATATTATAAACTAACCAACAGTGTAGCATTACTTTTCAAAACCAGAAGCTATAGCTGTCCTGCCTAACAGTGCATCTGTAGAGGCTCATGTCTCTACTCATTCGCATCTAGTAGAAGTGTTTGTGAAGGAAACAATGAAAATCTTTTTTTGGGAAGTACTTTCCCTCTCAACCCAGGGGATTCATGTGCTCCTTATAGAGTATATTTATGACCTTCCTTCTAGCTAAAAGGATATGTAAAAACCTAACCTATGACAGTAACACATTTTGTATGGGCCTGATATTTCTTTGGACAAACTTTCAGACATTTGAAAATCTTATGTTTTATTCAGATCTAATTTATTATACCTTCTTATACCCAAATTGTGAAGACATCTATCAGCCTCATTGGAGGTAAAGCATTGTCGGGAAGGACAAGCTCTTGATTCTAATGGAATTCAGTGCGGTACGTGTGAACAAAAGATGACACCGAACATAGGACAGCATTGTGCTTACTGAATAGTAAAACTCGGGGCTTGTAAGCAAGGGCTGTTAGTTTAGGAACCCAGAGAGCAGAGACAATTACCACCAAAAAAAAGTGATCTATAGGTTAAAAAGGCAAACAGGACTTTCATCTTAGATTCAAAGGGAAGATTGTACAGAGCCTGGAATATGAGATTCAGCCTCCAGGTAGGGACCACCTAAACGTAAGGTAAGTTTTTATGTCACTCATTTTGTGTTCTTCTCTGAAATTTTGAGCCCAGTCGATCATGGTCCTGCCCCTTGCGCAGTCATTAATGCTAGTGCAGAGTGGATACAAAATACTTCCATTCTGATTTGAAAGCATTTAACACCCACTTTGCACTTCTTTTGCAGTGTGTAAATGACTGCATGACGTGCAGAGCAACAATGAATCAGGCTCACCAACTGGACCCCAGCAAGCTGAGAGATGGCCATGATCACTGCTGTATTGTAAGATGGAATGCTGCCACTGCCATTATACTCAGAACACAGTCTGAAGCAGAGAAGGTTAAAAACAACAGTCCCCGCAGAGTGTCGTGAGCCTAGCTGCTAGAGAATACAGGAAATGCTTTTAAAATGACTGCTGTCCTATTATCTGTAATAGAATATGTGAACAAGAATGTTAAATCCACTTCTTACCCAGTGCCAAAATGTAAATAAACTGGTAATTTAGGGCTCTTGAAGCTAAGATTTACCTCAGCAAAAACAAGAAACAAAACCCAAAACAAACCGCTGTCAAGAAATCCCAGTTACTTTGAAAAAGAATTGCCAGCCACTAGATTTCAGAATACTTGCCCAGCTATGTTCTAGGGTGCCTTTAGATGGGTGGGATATGACAAAATAAAAGCAAAGTTTGTAAAACTTAAACTATTTGCCAACGATCTGTTCCTATAGAACTTACAATGCCTGTTGCTAGTAGAAATCGCTTCTACTCCTACTGAATAACAGTAATAATTTATGGCACCTTAGAGACCAACAAATTTATTTGAGCATAAGCTTTCTGTTGTTTCATGCATCCGATGAAGTGAGCTGTAGCTCACGAAAGCTTATGCTCAAATAAATCTGTTAGTCTCTAAGGTGCCACAAGTACTCCTTTTCTTTTTGCGAATACAGACTAACATGGCTGCTACTCTGAAACCAGTAATAATTTAATAATACTTAGCAATTCAAGAACATTTTTCATCTTTCGAACCTGAAGAACTTTATTAAGGCGGATAAGTATCATTATTCCCATTTTACGTATGGAGAAACTGAGACACAGAAAGGACACAATTTTCAAAAGCTTGGATAGGTACCTCTAACCATCTGAGTGCCCAGCAAGGGGCTCGAATGGGAGCTGGCAACTAGTGGATTTTCCAAACTGGAATATGACCGTTCCAGTGTTTTTGAGAGCCCAGCAGCTTGATCATTCCAAGAAGACAGGATGGGTAAAGGGCCTGGTCTGGAGAAACAGTGCGCAAACAGCATTCTCAAAAGCATCAAGGTGTTCTCAAGAACTGTTAACAGGCCCTCGAAAATTAGTAGTTCCTGAGGCAGGAGTGTGCCAGGAGGCACAAGTTAAAGAAATGTCCAGTGAGAGACAGGTGGTGGAAAGGGTACTATCCTAGGACTGGGGGGAGTTGGTTTGAGTAGAATGGAAAAGAGGTGCTGCAGTGCAGCATCTATGCTGTGGAGATATGGGAATGCAGGGAAAAGAGACATCAGGCAAAAGAGGCAAAAAGGAAAAGGCACCCTTCACACTCCTAACAAGGTCTACGAGCCTTAAAAGAACTTCCTTACCCTCACTGAGGCACAAGGTCATACAGAGGCACAGTTTACCCTTGAAGCCAAACATCACCTTTGTAATGAGTTGAAGGGGAAGCTAGAGAGTACGACCCAGCAAAGTCAAATCCTCTCTGCCCCAGTCAGGTTCGCCACTGTATTCACCATCCTTACCACAGTGTCCTTACACAGGGCCATCACAGACACTACCAACCTCAGCCAGTCAGCTGCTTCTGTATACCTAGATGATTTCCTAAAATTCTCTGATGTGCAGAGTTAATGACAACAGGCCTGACTGACCATCGAATTACTTCAGTGGAGGTATACACTGGCATAAACCTTGAGCTAGGCACTGGTGAATGAGGCCCCACATTAGTTTCCTTCTAGACAGCCAGAAAGTCAATACAACTATAAAAAGTTACATTTAAAAGGTAAACGCTTAAGATATCCTTTTTAAAGGCAGAACATTTGATTTCAGACTGCTTTGACACATTGGGATTTCTTTAGCTCCCCTTTCCTTCTCCCTCCAATAAAATATTAGCTAAAGCTGTCAAAAGATATTTTCTTAGCCACAAAGTCTTTCTGAAAGCCACAAGAATAATTTGAAATCATCTTGCAGGACCTTGGACAGTTTGGGAACCTGAAAAATCAATAATTTACCTACAATTTAAGCAGAACCCCTTTGAAATAATCTTTATTTCAAGATGTAAACCTTGCCTGAGCTTCCAACATTAATAGTGTAAAACTTTTCTTAACTATTTGCCTCTTCTCAATTTCCCCTCTCCTCAAACTATATGAAATATGGGTAATGATTAATCCATTAAAAAAGACATACAGAACTGACTGTACACAGTACAAATGATGAAACTGCCTTCTTCCCCTCTTCTGTCATTTATTGTCTATTCCATATAATAGCTATATCAAAACATAATGCAAACACATGTATTGTAGAATAAAAGCTAAACAAATGCCACTGCTGTTACCTTAGGCTGGATTCTTCTGTTTCTTCTCATTTGTAAACAACACTCATTGAAGAAGCTGAGATCACAACAGTTTTTGCCACTCCCTTCTCCCCCCATATTGGTAATTCTCCATGTTTTAAACCTGTCTCCATGACATTTTTCACTTTTCACTTTTAAATCCCATACCATCGTTTGCCTAATCCAGAGCTGTCAAGCAGGCCCATATCTACAAATAATAATTTGACCACTTTTACAGCAGAGTTCCTTGGTATCAATTATATATTGCTTTACTACAGTTCCTCAGCATTGCCATGAACCAAACACCCAACACAACTGTGAACATTAGAATATTTGCTGACGTGCTAGGAAGTCTTTGAGGACTTAGTGCCAGCATAACATGTTCATCAATTAGGCTCAGCGTGATTGCAAAACTGTCCCTCGAGATGCAAGGTATACCATTTTCTTTCCATTTTTTTCAAAGAAGCATCCTTAGGTTTGTTTCTACTGCTGTAAACAAAAACTCCTTGAGTCATAGTTTCAAATAAATTATCACCCCCTCCAGCATCCCATCTATCACTTTCCACTTGCCCTTAAAACAGAAAATTGAAATGACTGCTTTTCAGTAGTCCCGCTTCTGCTTATGGTTTAATCCTCCATCAGCCTTGACAGCCTTTTAGGTTTTCCATTAGCAAAACAAATGCTTGCAGAGAGCGAGCAGCTTAGGTTTGGAATACTAAGGAAACAGACTTCAGTGATCTTTTATTCAGTACTTATAGCAAAGCTCTGTGATCTATTTTTATATTCTCAGCAGGATCCAGCAGTGAATAACTATCAGTCTCGGTTCATCTTGTCCCTGTATTTTCCTTCTGAAGGATAACAGCAAATTTTATAAGGAGACGGTGCATGGACAAGGTCTTTTAAAAAAACAAAAAAAAGGATAACAGCAACACAAATAATGTGACTCTGAGCTCATTTCCAGGTTAGATTAAAAACAAAATATCCAAGTCATATTGGAAGTCTTTGTGAACTGTTGAAATTGGAGCTGTCAAAATAGTCCATTCAAAACTTTGGTTTTTTCAAGAAAAAATGGCCTTTTGTCAAAAATGAAAATTTTCATAGAATATTTTTTTCAAAATGTTCTGATCTTTTGATGAAAAATGAAACCCCCAAAACAGAAAAATTGTTTGTTTTGTTTTCCCCTTTGTCTTTTCCCTTCTTCCTTCCCCCTTTTGCAATGGAAAAAATCAAAGAAAGGGGAGTGGGGAAGGGAAAAAAGAAAAATGGTGAGAACAGGGAGAGAAAGGAGGGAAAATCCAAAATCTGAAAACCAAAAAACCAAAAAATTACTATTTACTATTATAAAAAATTGAAGTATTCCAAGAAAATGATTTTTTTTCAATATTTTTTCCACAAAACAAATTTAGCATTTTTTGACAAGTGGAATCTCAAACCATGAGAAACATTTTAGAGGATTAGAAATCTAGTTAATTTGCATTACTGAAAAGTTACCAATGAAAAATAACAAATGCAATGGCGTAAACTATAAGGTCCAAAATAAAGATTAGATTCCACCTATCAATGCATATAAAAATAAAAAATGATGACACATGGTTTAATCTTGTGCCATCCGAACCGATATATTTTTATTAATATTTATGAACATTTTAAACTCTTTAATATGACAAAATCTAGTTAACAAAAAAAAAGTCTTTTATCAAATCACACCTCTTATTTTCTTAAATTTGCAGCTCTAAGCTGAGAGAGTGTGCCACATTTTGGTCTGATAGAGATGCGCATAAAAATAAGTTATGAAACTTATCAAATGCCAAAAAATTAACAAGAGTCTAAATTTGAGGCCCCCTTTGAGCTTGAGGCCCAGGCCAAATGGCCCTCCTGGCCACTCCTCTGATTGGCCCTAACTCTATGAACTTAATTTACTAACACCAGGAGATTAATCTTCCACGAAAGAAATCTGAACTCACACCTACTTGGTAGTTCAAAAGTAGCTTCTGACAGTCTGGGTCGGTTCAAATTAATTTTCCATGACACAAAACATTTCTTAATGGGATATTTCAAAAGTGTCAAGTTCTTTATGAATCTGACAACAAGATGCTGCCGAGACTCTGGTGTACCTTTGACTACCTCATGATAGGTTGCAACATCTGTCAAATGAACCCAGATGGAATTAATCTATAGTTTCAGACTAATGATGAAAGTAGTTAAATAGATTTTGTGGGGGGTAAGTCAAAGAGTCCCTATGGACTTGTTTGTACCATACCAGAAACTCTTTTGTGTGACAATGACCTAACATTATATATTGCTGTAACTGAAATAATTTCCAATAGGAAAATGATGGGATCTGCTGGATGCTGAGCACTTCTGAAAAGTCTACCATTTCATTGCCTAAATGGGAACTGACACGTTTTGAAAATCGAACTCTGTGTGACTTGCCCATGGTCACACAGCAAATTAGAGCCAGAGTTGGAAATAGAATCCAGAGCTCCTGACTTCCAGTCAACTCCATCCCTAAGGCCAGTGTTTTCCAAACTTTTGAAAGCTGAGTCACCCCTTCAGGAAATTGAAACCCTTGCCCCTGGCAACTGTAACTTGTGCTGTTAAATTCCTGCCCATCTTAATGTATACAGCTTCTGTGTCCCCTGGCTAGTCCTGAAGGTTTATTAACAATGTGTGTGTATAATACTTGAAGCACACTTTGGTAACCCAATGGCTTAGATCTAAGTATCTATTGTTTCATGTATAAATAATTCTAAAATATTCCTGCAAAGAGCAGCATAAAGTGTCAGGGCAAAATTCTCCTCATAGCCGAGCATAAATCTTTGCTAATATTCTGTACTCTCTACCTGCTGAAATTCCCAGAGGGTGAAATTGTGGTGCTGAGAGCTACGCTGTAGCTCACGAAAGCTTATGCTCAAATAAATTGGTTAGTCTCTAAGGTGCCACAAGTCCTCCTTTTCTTTTTGCGAATACAGACTAACAAGGCTGCTACTCTGAAACCTGCAACTTTGAAGAGAGAATTTTCCCACGAGATATAGATGGAAAAGGTTTGTACTATTCAAGCTAGGAATCACACCCTTGGTGTCATATCTAATATTAGTAGATATATGTAAAAACACATAATTTTAGAAATCTGTCAAGTCATTTCTCTAATTACAACTGCTCCAGTTATCACCATAAAAAAGCTTGTATACAGAGTTAGGTGTATTTACTGTAGTGTAATTACAAATTAAATGTAATGTACACATTTGGGCAAACAGCTCAAAAGATGACTAGACTTTGATCTGAGGGGTACCAAGACCATCTTCCCATTTTCCAGTGACTGCGTCACTAGACAAAGATATTCACTGCTGAAGCACAGATGAGACCCACTGTCAACAGGTAGGTGCTGAAGGTGATTTCCTTTCGAGTACTTCACTTAATATATTATGATGGTTCTTCCCATCTGTTCTTTTGTTCTGAAAGCAGAGTCACTTCCAAAGTCTTATAGATCACAAAGAAGAAGCTGATAATAGATCCAGCCATACTTTGAATGGGCTACAGATCATATATGTTGTGTTGTTGCAGTGTTTCGTGTTACATGTTAAGCATTGACCGTATAATGCTGCACTGGCCCCAAGGAGATAGTCTAGATGACTTAATTGGCATTTTCTGTGTGTAACTTCAATGATTCATTCTGTGTCTCCTCTGATCCAGGGTTTGAATGCTACAGTTTGCAAAGAGTAAACCTTACATTGGTTGCTTCTGTCTCAGATAAGCCAGTATAAATTAAAGCTCTTGACAAATTTCTTGTTCCATTTTATGACCACCGTGAATCAGAGACATTCCTCTTAGCACAGCCGGCTGCATCAGCTGGAGTGACTGATATTACTGTTATTTGTATTAATGATTTATATTACAGTACAACTGAGGGCCTCATAGTGCTAGGTGCTTTCATATACACAGTGAGACAGTATCTACCCTCAAGAGTTGACAGTCTAAATACACAAAATAAGAAGAAAAGAAGCAATACTGAGACCCAGTAACACCATATTTTAAGTATTGAGGAAGATTTGGTACCAAGATAACTAATCTGGAGATACAGCCAGGGAAATATTGAACAATGAAAGGGTTAACTGGTAGGAGTCTAAACTCAAGTGAATTGTTCAGAGGAGTACTCTAATCCTGGTAATCCTCTAATCCTTAGGTCAGCATCTACCTAAGGTCAGCTGGAAGAGTGCCTACAAGGCATCTTTCACACCACTTTGTTCCTTCAAATTCCTACAGTTCAATAGTTCAGGAAATCTATGCGGCTTGTCACTCTGTAACCAAATGTTGGTAGGACAAAGCATGCCCTAGTAGGACTGGGAAACTGTGGCTCCACTGTGGATCCCAGGAACTCTAAGGTACTGCTTTCAAACTAGAGTATCTACTTTATGCCCCGCCAGAATATGGGAAGTTTTAAAGGGGTGCTGTCAGTTTAAATTTTATATACTTTAAACAAACATATTTCTATTACTTATATTATTAATATCACCTTAGTTTATTAAAAATGAAATAATTTAAAAATTTAATTTACATATCATTGTTTATTCTCTGTTTCTTTTTGCATTTGCCTCAAGGTGGAAAATAAAAAGAAATTAAGTCAGTGTCATATTTGTTTCTGGTCAGTTTCACTTGCACATTCTTAAGGTCCAGTCCAAAACTCACTGAAATCAATGGAAGCACTCCCACTGATGTCAATAGATTTGGATCAGGCCCTCAGTATTGCAATGTTTGGGTTTCATATACTGCAGAGGAGAGCTTATTTGTTTAAAATACAAGTTTTCATCATATTAAAAATGACATAAATTTTCTCTTGGTCTTTGGTTTTGTAAAAAAATTGTGTTTAGACAATGTAAAATTTGGGACAAATTTCAGTTGATTATGTCCTTTTAAGCTATGTATAATCTCGGAGAACCAGATTCTTCTCTAAATCACACCTCTGTAAATCCACAGTAACTTCACTAAAGCCAAACGAGTTACTCTGGATTTAAACCAATGTAACTGAGAGTAGAATTGGCCCATTGATCTCCCATTTTCTCTAACCTTCTCAAGTAGGTACTTCTGATTTGTCTGCAGCAAGATTCCTTTTTTGATTTTGTATATCGGGTAATTGTCTTCATTGACATGAGACTTTATCTGATTCGGTCTTTGGACTGCAGGTGTCTGGTCTAGCAGAGACTGTAATGAGAACAGATCACACTATTTTGTATCTGTATCTCTACACATATATTTCAAAGTTATTAAATGAACAAAAACGTGTTGTTTTACTTTTGAGGCAATGTGCTTCTTCTGTATGGATAAGCAACAGAAGTAAGGCTCTTATGGCTGGTCATGTATCCAGTGAATTATTATGAATAGCTGTTAGAATTTCATTGCTTACCAAAGATACTTGAATACAGTCTGTCTCACTTGATAGGTTTTGATCTGTTTTTCCTTTGCATACTGAATGACACACATCTCCCCTAGGAGTCCTTCCTGTTGGATGGAATATCAATACAGAAGACAATAAATTCATTAGAACCATGTGAAATAAACCTACTGACCGCTATTCCTACCTACATGCCTCCATCTTTCACCCTGACCACACCACACGATCCATCGTCTACAGCCAAGCTCTGCGATACAACCGCATTTCCTCCAACCCCTCAGACAGAGACAAACACCTACAAGATCTCTATCAAGCTTTCTTACAACTATAATACCCACCTGCGGAAGTGAAGAAACAGATTGATAGAGCCAGAAGAGTTCCCAGAAGTCACCTACTACAGGACAGGCCTAACAAAGAAAATAACAGAACGCCACTAGCCGTCACCTTCAGCCCCCAACTAAAACCCCTCCAACGCATTATTAAGGATCTACAACCGTATCCTGAAGGATGACCCAACACTCTCACAAATCTTGGGAGACAGGCCAGTCCTTGCCTACAGACAGCCCCGCAACCTGAAGCAAATACTCACCAACAACCACATGCCACACAACAGAACCACTAGCCCAGGAACCTATCCTTGCAACAAAGCCCGTTGCCAACTGTGCCCACATATCTATTCAGGGGACACCATCACAGGGCCTAATAACATCAGCCACACTATCAGAGGCTTGTTCACCTGCACATCCACCAATGTGATATATGCCATCATGTGCCAGCATTGCTCCTCTGCCATGTACATTGGTCAAACTGGACAGTCTCTACGTAAAAGAATAAATGGACACAAATCAGATGTCAAGAATTATAACATTCATAAACCAGTCGGAGAACACTTCAATCTCTCTGGTCACGCAATCACCGACATGAAGGTCACTATCTCACAACAAAAAAACTTCAAATCCAGACTCCAGCGAGAAACTGCTGAATTGGAATTCATTTGCAAATTGGATACTATTAATTTAGGCTTAAATAGAGACTGGGAGTGGCTAAGTCATTATGCAAGGTAGCCTATTTCCCCTTGCTTTTTCCTACCCCCCCACCCCCCAGACGTTCTGGTTAAACTTGGATTTAAACTTGGAGAGTGGTCAGTTTGGATGAGCTATTGCCAGCAGGAGAGTGAGTTTATGTGTGTGTGTGTTCCCGGGTGGGGAGGGGTGAGAAAGCCTGGATCTGTGCTGGAAATGACCCACCTTGATTACCATGCACATTGTAGGGAGAGTGGTCACTTTGGATAAGCTATTACCAGCAGGAGAGTGAGTTTGTGTGTGTGGTTTTTGGAGGGGGGTGAGGGGGTGAGAGAACCTGGATTTGTGCAGGAAATGGCCCACCTTGATTATCATACACATTGTGAAGAGAGTGGTCACTTTGGATGGGCTATTACCAGCAGGAGAGTGAGTTGGGGGGGGGGCGGAGGGTGAGAAAACCTGGATTTGTGCTGGAAATGGCCCAACTTAATGATTACTTTAGATAAGCTTTTACCAGCAGGAGAGTGAGTTTGTGTGTGTATGCGGGTGGGGGGGTGAGAAAACCTGGATTTGTGCTGGAAATGGCCCATCTTGATTATCATGCACATTGTAGGGAGAGTGGTCACTTTTGATAAACTATTACCAGCAGGAGAGTGAGTTTGTGTGTGTGGTTTTTGGAGGGGGGTGAGGGAGTGAGAGAACCTGGATTTGTGCTGGAAATGACCCACCTTGATTATCATACACATTGTGAAGAGAGTGGTCACTTTGGATGGGCTATTACCAGCAGGAGAGTGAGTTTGTGTGTGGGGGGCCGGAGGGTGAGAAAACCTGGATTTGTGCTGGAAATGGCCCAACTTGATGATCACTTTAGATAAGCTATCACCAGCAGGACAGTGGGGTGGGAGGGGGTATTGTTTCATGGTCTCTGTGTGTATATAATGTCTACTGCAGTTTCCACGGTATGCATCCGATGAAGTGAGCCGTAGCTCACGAAAGCTCATGCTCAAATAAATTGGTTAGTCTCTAAGGTGCCACAAGTACTCCTTTTCTTTTTGCAAAGACAGACTAACACGGCTGTTACTCTGAAACGTGAAATAATAGGTCACTCAAGTTACATAGGGAATTATATCAAACTCATTTCTCTGGTAGGTGGGTAGCTTATATGTAGTGATGTTTAAAAGGAGTAACCAGGGGATTTTATTACTACATAACTGTTCTTCCTCACCCCATTCCCTCACAACTGTCTGCTAGTCCCTCTTGTCAAGTCATGTCTCAAATGAGGTTGTAAGTGCTTCAGGGCAGAGACTGCATCTTTTTATTTATACTGTAAAACACCTAGAACACTTTGGGGCAATGCAAAAACAATTAATAAAATAATAATAATTAACCAACTAGTAGTGGTAGGGTTTGTGAAAATACAGGGCGGAATAAGGAATGCACACACAAGTAATTCAGATACACTTAGTATATTACGGCCTATATTGTATTTGATTTTCTGCCCAAGTTTCTTCCGTTTTTATTTCATTTAACTTATTATGAGTGATTGGAGTTATTATGTATTATTTGAATTACAATGACACTTGTGCTAGGTGCTATATTGACATTAAGCAAATACAAAAGTCCCTGCCCCAGAAAATTCACAATCGCACCTAAAAACACAAGGATGAGGCAAACTGAAAGGTGGGATAGGGGAGGATGATGATATAATAATGAAACAATTAAGTTTTTCACAGTAAGAAGCAATCACATCTTACCATGAGCACTGCCATAGTTGATTGGTAGGGTTTTGTAGCAAGAAGCATTTTGAGAAAGTAATTGAATGAAGGTCAGATTTAACAATAGGGATGACATTTTCAAAATTGACCAGCTAAACTACAAACATAAAGCATGAGCAAAGTAGATAATTAAGCACCAATTCATAGTGAACAACAGGAAACTGCAAAGTGCACATGCAAAAACCTGAACATGTTAACCCTTCATAGCCTATTAAAACTCCAGAACTGGAGGAAATCAAGGTTCAGCCAACAAAGCAAAACAGGGATTGCATTTCTTGGCAATTGTATCATGGCTGGCATGGCCCTATGAGGTGCAAGATATATGGCTAAGGTAGTTTAATTTAATGGACGGATACAATAGTGAGATTTGAATATGTAGTTGGACTGTCTAATTATTATTAGGAAATAGAACGTATATGTAAAGAAAAATAAAGACAGCTATACCCATATGGTTTTTTTTTCGTTTATATCTAAAACTAAGTTCAGTGGGGGAAGTAACATGCTTATATAAAGCAAGTTTAATATAAACAAATGTAGAGCAAAACATAGAGAGCCAAGAGGACTTAGTAATTATGGACTCAGTAATTTAAACAGCTAAGGAGAGGGGTGGCGGAAACAAAGGAAAAATAATTTGGGATATTTTCACCGATATTTAGTTTTTTAAAATAGTCCCTATAATGCATTAAAAATTATTTTAAAAGCACTGGCTGATCCAGGATCCAGCTTTCCAGTGACTGTGGGATCTGGCACTTTCATCTTCATCCAGAGCCTCTGTATCTAATACTTTGATGTTGGGCTGAAGCCACTATCAGCTTCAATGAATAGCAATAGAGAGACAAGGTGGGTGAGGTAATTTCTTTTATTGGACCGACTTCTGTTGGTGAGAGAGACAAGCTTTCGAGCCACTCAGAGCTCTTCTTCCTGTCTGGGAAAGACACTCAGGGCTTACCTATACTTAAAACCCTACAGTGGCACAGCTGCACCACTGTTTCAGTGTAGACACTACCTATGCTGACGGGAGGGGTTCTCCTGTCAATGTAGGTAATCCACCTCCCCAAGAGGTGGTAGCCAGGTCGACAGAAGAAGAGTTCCATTGACCTAGTGCTGTCTACACGGGGATTTTGTTCTGCTTAAGTATGCCACTCAGGGGTGTGGATTTTTCACACCCCTGACTGACATAGTTAAATCAACCTAATTTCCTCACGTAGACAAGGCTGAGAATGTCAGAGCTAAATACACAGTGGAACAGATTGTTTAGCATAAATAGTTAACACATGTTCTAAGGGATCATTCAAGGTGAAGTAGCTGTTAACACCTCTACAATCATAGGACAAAAAAGAGGTGGGGAAGGGTTAGGGAATAGCTCTGTGTAGCTCAAAACATTGTCTCTTTCACCAACAGAATTTAATCCAGTAAAAGATCTTGCTGCTTACCCATCTTGTTGCTCTAATATCCTGGAACCAACACCGCTACAACACCACTGCAAACAATGAATAGCAGTGATCCTTAATAATGCTGTGTTCTGTGCCCATTCAGATTGCTGCATTTCCTCATGGGCCACTCCCTTTAAAGGAATATTGCTTAGTTAAGAGACAACATAATTAAAAACCAAACTGAAAGCTTTAACTGTGTCGAAAGTACCATAATAAATATTCTGTGTCATAAAATTACTATCTGCACTTAGGGCCTGTTCTTTATTGTGGATCTTTGCTCTATTATACTGTACTCTATTATACTGCCTTCTCTTGTTCAAGGAGTAGGTTAGTATGGACTGGGGTAGGGTGACTGTCACTGCCTCTTGGGGTGGTCTCTTGAGGAGCTTCAGCTTCTCCTGACTGACCTTCCTTAGTTTGCTCTCAGTCAGGTCAGTTCCTGAACTCCCACCTCCAATTAACCCTGTCAGCCCTCCACTTTTTGGGCTTGCAGTCTCTTTCAGTTTCCTGCTGTTTTCTTGGAGGCAGCCTGATGCTGGGATGTTGCCACCTTGCTGTCCCAGGCCCTTCTGTCTCCCTTTCCCTCTCTGTACTCTTGCCTTTATAGCCTCTAGCCAGGCTTGGCAGCTCGGCCTACGTGGTGGTTTGATCAAGCTGCTTGCTTGTAAACAGAACAGGCTCTCCTCCCCTCTCTATGTTCAATAAGGGGTTTGTAGACCCCCATTACAGTGACATTCTAGTAAGTGCCAATCAAGGTTTCTTATTTTGACCATGCAATGAAAAAAAAATCACAAAAATGAGCCATGCAATGGAAATGTATGATGGAGGTTAGGGTGCACCCACAGATGTGAAAATAAAAAAGTAAGTTGACTTCTCCATCATGCCTTTTTTTCCTGCCTTGGAAATCACCAAGTGACAGTATGGTGACATAGTCAAACACTTTGGCTTGGTTTTAAAGAGCTAGATAATTTTGGGACCAAATTTTGTGGCAATACAAGCTAAAAGTTAAGCAAAGGGAAGCTCCCACACCTCCAGGACTGCACAGTTTGCCAAGTGTATCATGGGGGAATTGGTTGCTTTCTTCAGAAGTGTAATTTATTAACCACTGCCAGGGGCAGAAAGCAGAGCAGATGGATTAGTGATCTGATATGGAAAATTCTATGTTAACTCTTCTGTGTCTAGAAGAACATGTTTACAATAAAGTACACTTTTCCACAGAGAGTTATATTCCCCGGTCACTATGAAACTGCTTACCTTGAGAGGAAAACTTAAGAAAGCAAGGGATAGAAATTTCTCAGTAACTGGCTCACTATGAAACTCACTTGCAGAGATTAGAAATACCACAAATCTCACCATTTGCAGAACAAAGCATAAAACACATTTTACCAACCAAAGAAGAAGATTCACTAGGCTGCCTTAGGGGAAGAAGGAAGTAAACTGGACTGCACGTGGGCCTTCATATTGTGGTGATAATTTTTGTTAGGTTATCCCACACTAAGGTGAGGAGAGCAATATAAATGTTTAGATAGATTTAGACTGTTGCAAAAATTGATGGCATTTTTTACAAAATGTGCCAGTAAACAGTACATTAAAAAGAGACCCCAAAAGTTTTAATTTTTCCTGGAAATTTAAAACTTTTTGTTTACCAAATATTTCTTATCCATTGGCTGCATTGTGGATTGTTAGATTAGTAGGGTTGCACATAACAGCTAGTCTATTGATATTTTAAGCCAGATTCTAATCTCATTTACACTGTTTTACTCAAGTGTAATGCCAATGGAGTCAGTGGAGATACACCTGATTTACACCAGTGTAAGAGAGAGGAGAATCAGATCTACTGATTTGTTTTTTTCCTCTCTTACAATTAAAAATATATTGAGGCATTTGATATGGGGGCAAAGGTAGAACTTCACACAAAATGGATTTTGCTAAGAAATATAAGAAAATAAAAAAGATTAAATTTTGTTCCTATAAGCCTTGACAGATCTGCATTGAGAGAAAAACTCAACGATAGAAGCAAGAGAACAGACAATTAATCCTAAATGATTTTTCCACTCTCCCACCACCCACACAAAAGAGCATGAAGAGCCACATGAAAACTCTTGGTAAATTGACAGTGGCTCAAAATTGACAAGGAAGGCTACAGAAAACTGCATTAATGGAGACATAAATCTGAAGGACAGCACATTGAGCACAGCAATCAGTCACTTTTAAGTAGGACATTGTATTGTTTTTAAACTTACATTTTATTTTTGTTATCTACAAAGCATGTGAAGAGCTAAGGTACAGAACAGGTAGCAGAAGTGCAAATTTCTAATCTCATTTACACTGATCAGATCATTTACATTGGTAGGGAAGTGTCTTTTAGTCCTGATTAGAAAGAAGGATGAGAGGATACATCAGTCTCCATAGCTTCATTCCGTATGCTTACTTCTGAGATTGCTGCCGGTCAGGCCAGCCATCCCATAGGAACTGAACTGAGACCACTAATTCATGTCACACATTCATTGGCCACAAAACAGCCATCAGTAGGAAACAACTTTGAGTTATTACAGACCTGGGGCAATTTTAAACCAGTTACCTACCACTAAGAGAATCCACATCTGATTACCAGTTCCTTGAGGCATGTAGTCCCATTACATCTGCTTTGAGTGAGCCCTTTTCTGTAGCTTTATGAGGTACAAACGCATTCTCATAAAAATAGCACTATATCTTTTCCTTCAGCTTTTTGGTATGGAAAATATCAAGAATATTGGGTCTATCTATTGTATTTATATTTCCTAATAGAAGCTCTAGAGTAGACCAGTGGTCCTCAAATGTTTTAAGTCATGCCCCCTCTGATCCTCAAATGTTTTAAGTCATGCCCCCTCTGACCCTTAAAATAATCTGCCCTTGCCCCCGCTGTCGGGAGCCAGGGGTTGGGAGCCAGGGCAGGGAGCGGGGCTGTGGTTGGGGCCAAATCTGGGACTGCAGCTGCAGCGGGGGCGGTGGCTGGAGCAGAGGCAGGACCAGGAGCTGGACCATGGTTGGAAGCCAAGGCCTGGGTCCGGAGCAGGTCCAGGCTGCAACGATGAGCCAGGGGCCATGGCTGGGGCTGGGAGCCAGGGGCTGAGGCCAGAGCTGGGAGCCAAGCCATGGTCAGGGCTGTGGGCGGAGCCAGAGTGGAGCTGGGGGCAGAGTGGGGCTGGGTGGTGCTCCCTCCCTGCCCCCTGTGGGGGCTGGCTTCGGCCCTGCCATGCCCCCCCCAATATTCCCCCACGCCCCTTTAGGGGTCATGCCCCACAGTTTGGGGACCACTGAGCTAAACTAACGATGTAGAATAGGTTTTAGAAAATACATTTCCCATCTTAATGCGTGAAATGCATAAGCCTTTCAAGGTTGTTGCAAGGCAAAGGCTATTATCCAAAAAAAGACCATTTTAACCACCTTTAATTTAGCCATTTTCCAAAGTAATACGACTTAGCTTACAGAAATTCTGAAAGGCTCCCCTTTATTCCTGGGATGGAGGAATAGCTTGGTGGTTTGAGCACTGACCTGTTAAATGTAGGGTTCTGAGTTCCATCCCTGAGGGGGTCATTTAGGGATCTGGGGCAAAAACTGGGGATTAGTCCTGCTTTAAGCAGGGGGTGGGACTAGATGACCTCCTGAGGTCCCTTCCCACCCTGAGATTCTATGATTCAGATTTTGATTGGCAATGCCTGTATCTCAAATGACAGAGTAAAATTGTCAAGATGGCCACTTCCTAATTTTTTTTTGTAAATATATTTAAGACATTTGTAGTTTGCTTTTTAACCATTTACGAACCTAAATCCCATTTTCAAAAGTGACACAGGCTCCTAATTTCCACTGATTTCAGTGGAAGTTAGGAATCTAAATACCTTTGAGGATCTGGGCCTTAGGGCCAAATGTTAAAGTTATTTCAGGACCTAGGTGCCTAATGGGATTCTCAACTGTGCCTTGGCTCATACCTGGACACATTTGAAAATTTCTCTAGGGGCCTGTCTGCAACTTTACGCACCCAAATACCTTTAAAAAACTGGTCTTTAGAAGCTTAACTCTCACAGAAAGTCAATGGGACTTAGGGTATGTGCTACTGTAGCACCATAGTTTAGACACTTCCTACAGCAATGGAAGGGTTTTTTCCATCAATGTAGCTAATCCATCTCTCTGAGCTGCAGTAGCTAGGTCAATGGAAGAATTCTTCCATTGGCCTAGGCGCGTCTACACTCGGAGTTAGGTTGACCTAACTAGTACACTAAGGGTGCAAAATGTATCACAGCCCTGAGCAAAATAGCAGTCAATCTAATTTTTAAGTGCAGACCAGGCCTTAGACAATAGTCTGTGTTGCAAGTGCTGTTATTGAACTGAGTACTCAAATGTGACTTGAATGAATATATATCAGGCACAAAATCCATTAAGAGGCAACATCTCAGTGGAAGCAAAGCACTTAAGCACCTGCTTTACTTTAAGCATGTGAATAATCCCAATCATTTCAATAGGATTACTCATGTGCTTAAAGTTATGCAGGTGTTTGTATGCTGTGCTAAATTAAGGCATTAGTGCAGTCTCATTTTACAGTATGTTGCATATGCACATGTAAATTTCATTGACTAATGATAACTCATAAAAATATTAAATAAATTAACTTTGCTTTTGAGGAGGACGGGTCTAAGACCATCTTGAATTAGCACGAGAAAAAGTTTTGCTTTTCCAAATCTATATCTCAGCATCTCCAAAGAATTTATGTCAGCATGGAAAGGTGTTAGGCACTTGACTGAAGCCAGTGGGACTTCTCACCTTAAGGCAAGCAGGATTTGGCCAAGAGGGAGCTAAATAAGTAGAGCCCTGCAAATCTGTGGATATCCACTTTATATCCTCAGATATCCACGGACCATGTTTGCAGATCACCTATCAGATGCAGATACAAATTTTATGTCCACGCAGGGCTCTGTAAATAAGTGTTTGAAAGAAAGAAAGAAAGAAAGAAAGAAAGAAAGAAAGAAAGAAAGAAAGAAAGAAAGAAAGAGCTAATGTTTTTAAATCAATAGTTTGATGCTGCAAAGCCTCACTCATGTAAGTAGTGTATATTAATTTAAATAGAAGATTACATATGTAAATTTTGCTCCATTTAGAACCAACTGAAAAATCTCTCCCCTCATGGAGAGGGAGGTTTGTGTTAGAAGTTATGCTCCAGTGTTGCTACTTCTACAGAAACAGATCTTTTATAAATGTTTTTTTTTTAATGACTTGAGGGAAATATAGTAATAAGACTCTCTCATGTGTTTTTATATGGCTCAGCAATTTTGGGGAGAATACTTTCTCATTTAAATATTAGGAAAGATGGTTATAATTTCATTGCTTACCATATGCACAGGGATTAATCTGACCCAAGTTGACACTGGTTTTTTCACAGTCTTGTTTCATATTGTGAACAACAGCGCGTGCTGCCTTTTCCTGCGTGAAGAGATGTCACGAGTGAGATAAATTCAGTGCCAGTGCACGAGGTCATAATGTTGTTAGAACAACAAGAAACAATACTACATTTAAGTTGTAGGAAATCTGATCAGAAATTATCTTCTGGCAGAGGGAAGCGCACAGACAGAATCAGAAATGTACACAGAAGTCATTCAAAGGTATGGCAGGTATACCTTACTGAAAGTATAGGTCTGAATTTGGGTACTAGGTACACCTCTCACTGCCACCCAGTGGTTTAACAGATGGGAGGCTTGACTAGATCTGCAAGGTGCAGACAGGTTTAGAATGAAAGAAGGAGTGTACACAAGGATAGGTCACTCCTTCCCTGGTGTTCTGCAGCCCACTGGCCAGCCAGGGAAGTGTCACCCTTTGGCTCTGCCTTCCTACAACCATTCATTTAAACTCTTGCCCAGGTTTTCTTGAGCACCTGCCATTACCTTAATGACACTCTCTCCAACTAATCCAGGAGTGGCACTGAAGAGCTCTGCAGGGAGATGACTTTCAAACCTCTTTGGCTGGAAGGATGGGTCAAAAATAAAGGAATTTAAAAGGAGAAATGTGAGTAGGCCTCAGAGGAGACACACACACACACTTTCCTCAAAATACACTCATTTCTGTATAGCATATGTGCCTAATTCTTATTGCACACCAGTTTATATCATAATTTCAGTGAAGTTAATGGAGTTAGTCGTTAGTGCAAAACTGATGAGTGGAATGGGAGGGCCTGGGCTCCCCTAACACCCCCCTTATCACAGAAGGGGCATAAACCTCCTGTTCCACCCCTCCTCTCAGGACTGAGGAGAGGATAGAGAGGTTGAGAGCCCCAGGATGAGGGCGAGTCAGTCTCATGTGTCTGGAGGTGGGTTTGAAGTGGGTGTCAAATTGCAGGCTGCAGAAAGAGTCTCTATTATCATAACTATTATTTAACAGTTATGGTAGTGCCTAAAAGGTCTCAACCAGCTAGGTGCTGTACAAACATGTGGTCAATTTTCATTCCCTGCTCCAAAGAGCTTACAGTCTAAAAGACAAGACATACCAGGTGGACAAACAAGCAGGTTAGGGCAAGAGAAAAGAGGTAACAAACATAACAGGATGCGCGCAATTCTTATCCAAGAATTTTGTGTCTTCTTTACTACTTAATTTTTATTATTTTTAAACTGTAGTTGCCTTTGGCTCAATCATTTTTGAAATTTGGCTGTAACATCCAAAAACTGAGCATTATGAACCCAGTGTTAACTGTATATTGAAACATTGTTGAATCTTTTATAATTGTAGGTGGAGGAAAGTAAATACAGGCTTTTCTCCCCAATGTGGCTGTGAAATCCAGCTTGTGCCAGCCAAGTTAATTTTGCCAGGTCTAACTCACACATTTACCTGGAAATGGTAATCTCAAATATAGCACACTATATAACAGGCACAGTTCTGGGAACTCAGAGAATGGAGATCAACAGTATGTTATTATGGGGGGAAAGGTCACTACTAGTAAGAGCAGACATTCCCTAATCACTCAAGAAAGTTCAAAGAAGAGCAAGAAAGCGATGCAATCTGCTCCATTAAATTCTACATAGTTTCAGTGGCCCAGACACCAGCAGAACTAATCAGTGTATTGAAGCCGACAGATGTAATTGGAATCGATTGTTAACACAGATAAGATTTTCTTTGGCATTTCAGTGCTCTCTAGTGTTCCAGTCTCACCTCTGTAAATCTTTCATCCACCCACTCTCCCCAGTTTCATCACCACGCTACCATTTTCCCCAGTTTGCCCAAGGAAATTCATTGAACCCTTCTACTGAGCCTTAGGCAAAATACATTACAGTAATAATCAATAGCAGTAAAATGTGCACCATAGCATGGCTAACAGCTAACAAAGTAGGTTAAAAATGTGCAAGTGACCATGTAAATTGACAACTCTAGTTTATTTTCAGAGAGAGATTTTTTTGTCTATGAATCACTAGGCTAGGAAATCAGTTCCAGAAGGAAAAAGATGACTATTTGCGGGTGGGGGCATTAAAACATATCTTACTATAATATTAATTATCACTTTTTGTTTTCATAAGGAAAGAAAACAAATAGCATCTTTTAGATAGATGGTGAATGTTCTCCCCAAAGCCCCTTTGACAGTGAAACTCAAGATGATCGTGGGCATGCCACTTTGCTTTTTTGTGCCTCAATTTCCCATCTGTAAAATGGGGCTAATAGCACTTCCCTCCCTCTCAGGGATTTTGTGAGGATAAATACATTAAAGACTGTGAGGTACTCAGATACTATGGTGATGGGGACCATATATGTACCATAGAGAGAAGATGGGGAGAGGGAGCTGGGACCACTTTTAAATTTTCATTGTAAAGTTTTGTTCATAGCATATTACACTGACATGGAGCATGGGAGGATGACAGGGATATGATGTAAGCATGGTGAGAGAGCAAGAAAACATGTGAGCTCTGCCACGCATACATGAGTTATGAAAAATACTGCACCGTATCAGAATAAATGAGTCATCTAGAGAATCTCATTGCCACCAGCACAAGACAATGCCCTGATGAATCCTGATCATGGAGGGTTATAGAGTTGATACATGCAGTGTACTGCTGATAAACACAAGGCTCCACAGTTTCAGATAAGTACTGGACAAAAAAGGCAGCAGTACTTGAAGCACAGAAAGACAGTCAAGCAGTGAATTACTAAGTAAAGACCAGAATGAAACTAAATGCACTGCTTGAAATGATTAGTGACTAATACAACCCAAAGGAAAACATATATGTAATAACTACAAAACCTGTTCATAGCACATTCCTTCTTTTATGCAAATGTTGGCAGTTTACTATAGATCCACAATCAGTAGTCGATGCAACCACAGCATTTCTAGGTCTCGGTTTTCAGTATTACGAAGCTAAGAAAAATGTCACATGACAAGTGACGGCTCCACAGATGCCCTGCTTCTGCTCTAATTGACACCAATGGCAAAACTGGGTTCAGTGGGAACAGGAATACGCCTCAGTTGCTTTTGCATTACCATTAATCCCCAAATCCTCCTTTTTGTTTGATTATTGACTGGCCTGCTGACCATAATTCAAAGTATAACCATTGTCCTGCATTGTAGACATAGCAATGTGCACAGTGTGATCTTTAACGCAGTGGGCCAGCTATCTCCTTGTGACCCTGCCCCTTTGGGCTGCACTGTCAGTAGATTATGGCTGTAGAGCTGCTGTACCTGGTTCTGTAAACCACATCCTGAGGCGGTGGGATCCTCCAGTGGCATAGAGCCAGGAGAGAAGCACTGAGGCCTGAATGCACAAAAGGAGTTAGGTGTCGTGATGTGCAAATCCTGAGTTAGGCACCTAAGCTTCTAGAGAGAGGTAGACACTTTAGAATGTAATTAACAAAAGCCAGCGGGATAGGCAGGGAGATGCCTACAATAGATGTGCATGCTAAACCCTGCCCCTATCTCAGAGATGAGCTCCGACCGCTGGCTGGCAGGGTGGTACCTATCTCAGCTGCAAACCCTCTCTTGTATTGGGCACTTACACTGCTAAAGAGTTGGGGCGGGGGGAGGCGAGAGAGAGAATGAGAGCAAGTGAGCGAGAGAGAGCATGTGCATATGTGCATGAGAATGACTCTTTAGCCCAGTGGTTAGAGAACTCGCCCAGGAGGTGGAACACCCAGGATCAAGTCCAATGACTCTCTCATTATTTATCCAGAGTGCAATAGCTTCAACAGGAGAGACTGAGCCAGCCCCACATTGGACTATCCCGTAGCTCAGTGATTAGAACCTGGGCTCTAGGACCCTGCGAGGTTTGGGTTGGGGGTGTCCCAAAGTGCAGGCTGTAGCCCAATGCCAGAACATCTTCATTGCAGTTAAATAGCCCCACAGCCCAAGCCCCGCAAGCCTGAGTCAGCTGGTGTGGGCCAGCCATGGGTATTTAATTGCAGTGTAGACAGACCCTAAGAGGCAGCAGAGTCCTGTTCAAATTCCTTCAACCTCTCAAGCAGAGGTGGAACTTGAACGAGAGTCTCCCACCTCCCAGGTGAGTTCCCTAACCACTGGGCTAAAAGTTTTGAGGAAAGTCCTCCTTTCCCTCCCCTCCCCCAGCTGCTATTGTGTGAACTCACCAGGGGGAGGGAGGGCAATCTGGTAGGCACCCTCTGAGCACGCTTACCAGATTGGGACCTGCACAGCACATCACATGACTTGGGCAGCAAAACACTTATCTTCGCCTGGTTTGTGAATCACTGTTGGAGCTCAGCATCTGGATGCCTAGAAGGAGGCAGCAGTGCACATGCGCAGAGGCAGTAACACTGGCATCTAGGCAGGGCTGCTGGAACAGGGGGGCCAAGCGGCCATGGCCCTCCCACTTTTGAGCTCTGGCTTCTGGCCTGACCTGGGGGCGGGGCCTTGGGGGCCGGAAGCTGGAGCCAGGCCTGGGGAAGAGCAGCCTGGGCAGCTATGGGGAGCCTCCACCTGCTCCAGGTGAGAGGGTCCGAGAGCAGACCCTGGCCTGTGTCCCCATCCTCTACCCAGGGCAGATGAAGGGTCTGGCTACCATGGCCTGGCTGTGGCTCTTCGGCCCCCGAGGCCCCACCCCCAGGTCAGGCCAGAAGCCAGAGCTGGGTCAGGGTAAGACATGCTGGGGGGGCGGAGATAGGGACACATGCTGGGGCTGCTTTCGCCCCCCTCCCCCTCCAGACAGGTGTAGGGGCCCAGGCTCCCCGGCCCGGCTCCAGCTTGGCTGAGGGAGAGGAGCCTCATAGGGAAGAGGAGGGGCAGGTATGGGACTACAGGGGGGTGGTGCCTTGTGCGCGCTCCCCCACCCCTTTCAGGAAGACTCCGTCACCCTTGTACCTAGGCAACTTTTATTCTGCAAAATTTAGGTGATGAATGAGCTTAGGCCCCTACAGGGTTCAGCTGGACTTTGCGCATTGCAGCAGTCCAAAAATTGGGACTTAGGTGCCTAAAATGAGACTTAGGCACCTTACTCCTTTTGTGCATTCAGGTCTGAGTGACCAACACAGAGGGGGACTAAGCAGGTTAAGATGGTACAGCCTGCTCCACTGATGCACATGGCCTGTTCTGTGGATTGGAATGGGAGGAACCATGGCCCCTCCTGTCTCTGTTTAGGGGAGTGTGTACCCCAGGACATGTGGACTGAGAAGTCCCTGAATTCCGTCAAGTGGGTGGTCTGTGATTATGACTGACCCTTGTGTGGGAGGTGCACAGAAGACTAACAAAGCTTCTTGTGTCCTCCAACTCTGAATTCAGTCTGGCTCTTGGTTTTAGCTGCCAATTGATTCCTTCTTCTGGCACAGGAAAATACCATCATATTCTGATTTAACAGGACATTACACCTACCTCTCTGAGATCTGCAAAGGACTGAAAATCAAGGGGTCTTACCTTTGCCTGTGTTAATTGTGTTTTTCTCTCTGATTTAATGATGACAGGGAGGACGCTAGACCTGCCTATTCGTAGTTTTTCAGGCTTGGAAGCAATTTTCTTCCTACCAAGTGATGACAAAGAAAATTAATCAGTGGGACCTCACTACTAAACACACTATATATTATGCCTATGCTTATGGGGAAACTATTCTGACCATCCTGAAAAAAAAAAGTTCTGGAATGAAGCTACTCAATTCACTGAAATATTGCAAGCAGTATCTATTCACACATATAATGTCACTGGAATATAATACACGAGTATAATTTTGTTCTTTTTTTTTTATGAAAAAATAAGATGACGAGTGTGCTGGCTAGTAAGTATCCAGTCTTGGAATGATTAAAAAGATTTTTTTCCTTTAGGGAACAAATTGCATTAAAGAAAATTGAGTGAAGGTGCATGGCCTTATAGTAGCTCCATCTAGGTTGTATTTCCCTAGTTTCTTTATGAGAAGGTCATGCGAGACAGTATCACAAGGCTTACTGAAGTCAAGATATACCACATCTACTGCTTCCCCCCTATTCACAAGCTATCAGGTTGGTTTGACGTGATTTGTTCTTGACAAAAATCCATGCTGACTGTTACTTATTACCTTATTATCTTCTAGGTGTCTGCAAATTGATTGCTTAATTATTTACTCCATTATCTTTTCAGGTACAGAAGTTAAGCTGACTGGTACAGAAGTTAAGCTTTCCTGAGAAAGCAGGATGATCAGCGAGTTATCTTAAGTGCCTATACACAAATGTAAGAAGCCTGGAAACAAGCAGAGAGAACTGGAAGTCCTGGCACAGTCAAGGAATTATGATGTGATTGGAATAACGGAGACTTGGTGGGGTAACTCACATGACTGGAGCACTGTCATGGATGGGTATAAACTGTTCAGGAAGGACAGGCAGGGCAGAAAAGGTGGGAGAGTTGCACTGTATGTAAGGGAGCAGTCTGACTGCTCAGAGCTCCAGTATGAAACTGCAGGAAAAACCTGAGAGTCTCTGGATTAAGTTTAGAAGTGTGAGCAACAAGGGTGATATCGTGGTGGGAGTCTGCTATAGACCACCAGACTAGGGGGATGAGGTGGACAAGGCTTTCTTCAGGCAACCAACAGAAGTTACTAGATCACAGGCCCTGGTTCTCGTGGGGGACTTCAGTCACCCCGATATCCACTAGGAGAGCAATACAGCAGTGCACAGACAATCCAGGAAGTTTTTGGAAAGTGTAGGGGACAATTTCCTGGTGCAAGTGCTGGAGGAACCAACTAGGGGCAGAGCTCTTCTTGACATACTGCTCACAAACAGGGAAGAATTAGTGGAGGAAGCAAAAGTGGATGGGAACCTGGGAGGCAGTGACCATGAGATGGTCGAGTTCAGGATCCTGACACAAGGAAGAAAGAGAAGCAGAATATGGACCCTGGACTTCAGGCTGTAGATTTTTAGTAATATGTTGCTATCAATGCTCTTCAGCGATTTATTTGTAAGGAGGAAGTCAGGGAAAACATCCTTTGCCAAGGACCAGATTCTGATACCCTTACTTATGTTGAATACTATCTGACTCAATGAATAGCACTGACAAAGTCAATGAAAGTATTTATGGAGCAAAGTGCTATTAAGAATGAGTTAGGATATCAGACTTTGTTCCTAAACACCGATTTTTGATTCTAAATGTTCTAACAAACCATCCAGCCAGGCTGATGTTTTCTATTTCCTTTCAATATGTGTCTACATTTTGCACTATCTTTTTGCTGCCTTCCTATTGACAGCCTCCACAGCATTCCAAGACCTTTGGTGGCTCTCCCACTACTTCTAAAAGATTCACAAAGATAGATAGCTAGATAGATATTTACTCTTTCTCAAAATGAGGCTTTTTGCTATTGTGTTATCTTATTTGATAATAAAAGTTCTCAGGAAAAGAGAAAGACTTGACAAATAAAATAGTAATAATAATAAAATAATAATAATTAATAATAATTATAATAATTTTGGACCTAATAACAATTAGGTTTATTATTATACAGATTATACTAAGCATGAGCCTGATTTTGATTATAGACCATCAAGCAGAATTGAGGAACTACAGTTTGAAACTGTTAGAAAATTCGGAATCTTGTTTACAAGATATAAAAAACTTTTAGGACAGAATCCTGCAGCCATTATTCACGTCAGTAGTCCTATGACAGTTTGGATTTGCAGGAGTGGGTCCTTGTTCTGTACGAATTGTTGACCACTTGTTCTTCCATGCTAGGTGACTTTTAAGACACAGAAAAACTAAAGCTGAAAAAACAGAGGCCTGGAAGAGCTGCTGCTTTTTCTGACCAGCTAAGTTTCTTCAGAGATCCCATCCAAAGCATCAGGATATGCATTTTCCTCAAATATATGAATACTTTGGCTGAGTCAAGTGCATAAAGTGTATATTGACTGAGAAATGAACAACCTGCAGTATACTGCTATCCTTATAAAATGGTGATTTTAAAATGAAAGATTAAGAACTTGTTTGCTTTTTAGAAAGTAATATTTGTGGTGGTGGTTGTTGTTCAAAGAATCATAGATATTCAAGATGGAAAAGGCCCGTAAGATCATTCTGTCCATCATCATAGTGTATGTTTGTTTCCTACAGGAAATTATCTAGAGCTTTGCCTAATTTATGTACCAAAAAAATGGAGCTTCCAGCACTTCCTTTGGAAAACTATTCCACGACTTAATTTTTTTCCCCTTCAGGTCACAGAGATAGGGGCGGGGTGGTTGAGTCGACAGACACTAAGCCCTGGTCTACACTAGGACTTTAGGTCGAATTTAGCAGCGTTAAATCGATGTAAACCTGCACCCGTCCACACGATGAAGCCCTTTATTTCGACTTAAAGGGCTCTTAAAATCGATTTCCTTACTCCACCCCTGACAAGTGGATTAGCGCTTAAATCGGCCTTGCCGGGTCGAATTTGGGGTACTGTGGACACAATTCGACGGTATTGGCCTCCGGGAGCTATCCCAGAGTGCTCCATTGTGACTGCTCTGGACAGCACTCTCAACTCAGATGCACAATTGTTTGCCATTGCTCTGACGCAGGGAGGGGCAACTGACGACACGGCTTACAGGGTTGGCTTTAGGGAGCTAAAATCAACAAAGGGGGTGGCTTTACATCAAGGAGTATTTCAGGCAGGACTTCACGGAGGGTTCCAATAAGAAATGGTGCACCTAAGTTATTGTTCTTATTGGAACAAGGAGGTTAGTCTGGCCTCTGATTGATACATGGCTAGATTTACCTCGCTGCACCTTCCCTGTGAGTGACTACAGTGTGACCTAGAGGAATGAGTCCCCGAGACAGGGGAGGGGGGGAAGCAAATGAGTACAAAACAAATCTGGTCTATTTCTTGTTTTGATCCACTACATCTATCTTTTACATCTTTGGCTGGCAGCAGATGGTGCAGAAGGACTGCATGCCATCCACATCTCATGGCTGCCCGGCAGAAGATGATGCAATACGACTGCTAGCCATCCTCATCTCTTGCCTGCCCGGCAGAAGATGGTACAATACGACTGCTAGCCATCCTCATCTCTTGCTAGCAATCCATATCGTCTGCCTGCTCACCATAAGATGGTTCAATAGGACTGACTGCAGGACTAAAGAGAATGACCTGGTCAAGTCACTCCAAATTTAGTCCCTGCGCCCATGTCTGTCCAGGCGCTCCCGGCCGACGTGGCCAGGAGCACCTCGGACATGAAGATGACGGCTACCAGTCATATTGCACCGTCTGCTGCCACAAGACAATGGGTTGCTGCTACTGTGTAGCAATGCCGTACCGCGTCTGCCAGCACCCAGGAGACATACGGTGACGGTTACCTGAGCGGGCTCCATGCTTGCCGTGGTATGGCGTCTGCACAGGTAACTCAGGAAAAAAGGCGCGAAACAATTGTCTGCTGCTGCTTTCATGGAGGGAGGGAGGGAACGGGGGCCTGACGATATGTACCCCGAACCACCCGCGACAATGTTTCAGCCCCATCAGGCATTGGGATCTCAACCCAGAATTCCAATGGGCAGCGGAGATTGTGGGAACTGTGGGATAGCCACCCACAGTGCAACGCTCCGGAAGTCGACTCTAGCTTCGGTACTGTGGAAGCACTCCGCCGAGTTAATGCACTTAATGCACTTAGAGCATTAAGTAAATGGTAAAGGTAATTGCCAATTGTATTTTGCAATTGGTAATTTGCCAATGGTAAAGGTAATTGCCATTGTGTTTTGATCCAACAGTCTCATCTGAGCTATGGAATGGCAGACCATGCTCAGCAAGAAAACCTATGGTTTCAGCTATGCATCTGAGAACGTTCTTCCAATAAGCCCAAGCTTCCAAAAACTGGTTTTCCATTTGGGTATCAATTCTGCCACTAACTTTCTTTTGGGCATGGTACCTGCTAATGGACAATGCATGCTGCTTACTCATTGCATGATTGGTAATGTAGGCAGTAGTCTTCCAATTATTGAAGCCTTCGCAGAACATTCCCCACACTTTGGAACAGAAAACAGGTGGCAATAAAAACAGGACACTTTCTTCTTAGAAGGCGAATAGATGAGCCATTCTCAATTGCCAATCTGTTTGTTAGGCTTCACATATTCAAACATTGATTTGGTGAGATAACGATTCTAATTGGTGTACTCTCGCTTTGTCAATGAAAAGTCAGCATCTAGAATCTGGCATTTCTGTGGGCCCTTCTCAGTCCAATATGCAATGAGATCTTGAGAAGTCAAGTCCCACTTGCCTGGATGGTTGGAGAAGGATATTTTTGTATTACTATCACTGGGAAAGTCTTCAGAGGAGTGGGATGAGACTGCAGCTAGAGAAGTCACAGGAGGCTGCTCCTTTCCATCAGGTGCAGGAGCAGCAGGTTCACTGGGCTGGTATTCGCCTGGACTTCCTCACCACCAGACTTAGTAGGAGGAAAAAATGTTAGGATGAAAGGAGTGCCTTTCAGCACTACATCTTGTCTTTGCCGTCTTTCTTTGGCCTCCTTCAACTTCTGCCATCCTCCTTTCTTTGACATGGTTTCTATAGTCCAGTGTAGGCCTTCTGTGT